TTGGACGGAATTTGAAGGGGATTTCGACTAGGTGTGATTGGAGGTGAGTTCCTTGGCCTAAATACATGAATTAATGGTAGAATTTACATGGAAATTTGTGGAAATTCATCAAAAGAGGGTAAAGCTAGGGCTTGGAAACTTGGTATTTCAAAATGGAATTTGAGGGGTCAAATGGACTCCGATTTTGGTAAATTTGATATGTATAGACTCGTTGCGAGATAAGAAATCCGGTGATGTTAATTTTCTGATTTTACCAGAAGTGGGCCCGGGGCTCGGGTTTTGCCAACTTCGTGAATTTTGATGTTTTTCGAGTCTTTTCGATTGGGTTATATTCCCTTAGCCTATTGTAACGTATTCGTTGTGGTTTTGGCCAGATTAGACGCGCGAGGAGGTTGATTTGCGAGGCAAGGGCATAGCAAGCTAGGATTTGGGCCGGCTTGAGGTGAGTAATGGTTATAAATGATGTCCTGAGGGTTTGAAACCCCGGATTTGCACAACGTAGTGCTATGTTGAGGTGAGATACACGCTGCATGATGAGCGTGGGGTCCATTACTGCTGGGGATTTGGACTTGGTCCATCCCGATTGATGATTCTACTGTATTTTTTGATTGAGACTTAAATTATATCATTATAGTTTGGGCTAGTTGCCATGTTTGGGGCCTTGTGCCGACCTGTAGAACCCTTAGTGGTAATTGTACATGATTGACCTCACTTTACTCGTTAAAATCATACCCTCAGTCATGTTTCTAACTGTTTAATCTAATATGAACCGGCTTTGGAATAACTAAACCAAAAGGAGAGTAATATGTGGGCTGGGATCCCTATCTTATCTTAGTATGCCCGAGAGGCTAAGCTTATAGTGACTGGGAGGGCTTGAGAACCCCATAGTGAGGGTATTTGATATAATATGGATCGGGCTGCAAGCCGCAGCAGTATATATATTGATATGGATCGGGCTGCACGCCATAGCAGTATACTATTGGATCGGGCTGCGCGCCGCAGCAGTACATTCATATGGATCGGACTGCACGCCGCAGTAGTATAGCGCTTGGGCTGTAGGAGCCCCTCCGGAGTCTGCACACCCCCAGTGAGCGCAGTCGACTATTATTATTGGATCGGGGCTGCACGCCGGCAGCAGTGTATATATATATATATATATATATATATATATATATATATATAATTATATATATATATATATTATATATATATATATATATATATGGATCGGGCTGCACGCCGCAGCGGTAAAATTATGATTTCGGTTTTGTCTGAGGAAGTAAATGAGTTGAGTACTGGCTTTGAAGGATTTTACCTGACTTCTTATCATTTAGTTGTTGTTTAAAATTTTTACTGCTTGATATTAGAACTTGCCCTAGTGCATTTTTACGAGATTTCTTTCCGTCATCATTGTATTTATTGGCTATTACTCATTGGTCGGAGTACTCACTTTTCTCCTGCACCATGTTGCAGATACAGGTATTTCGAAGGGTCGATTGAGGGCTATTGTACTATTCAGATCTACCGGAGTCATCGAGGTGCTCATTGGCGTCCGCGAGTCCGTTCTCCCTTCTATCCTCTATTACTTCAGCATTTTAGGGACTATCTTTTGTTTAGGCTGTTCCTCGACTTGTATTAGGGCTCTTGACTCGTGACACAGTCGGTGGGATTCTGTAGTGATATTTCTTTGATTTTCGACATGTCTATCTTCTGTTAAAGATTTAAATCATGTTAATTTGGTATTTTAACCCTGTTAATGGTAATGAACTCTATATGGAGGGATTTTGAGAGTGTTGAATTTGGTCGGGCTTGCCTAGCATTGTGTTGGTGTTGGGCGCCATCACGACCGGGTTGGGGGGTCGGACAAGTTGGTATCAGAGCCTAGGTACTAGGTCTCGTGTGGAGTATGGAGGCGTTGTAGTAGGAGTTCTGCGGAGCGGTGCGGGGATGCCTGTATTTCTCCTCGAGAGCTGCAGAACCTTTTAAGGGAAAGATTCCACATTTCTTGAATTCTTGTCGTGCGAAACTTGTTGATACCGAATACTAAAACTTCTCCTCCATTCTATTCTCTCACAGATGGTGAGGACACGAGCTACCGGCGTGGAGCGGGACACCCCACCGATGCACTATGAGGCCACCAAGGGGGCCGGTGGACGCGGTCGTGGGCCGGACAGAAAGCAGCGAGGTGCACCTATTTATCCAACCAGCTGCCCAGTTCTGGAGCGAGGCTCAGCAGTACCAGCTCAGGCACCGGCTTGTGCCCATAGTGATTCCGGGCCTTCAGGAGACATTAGCTCAGATCTTGACCAGTGTTGCACGGGGCCTGCTCTTGGTGTTTCACCACGCACAGCACCAGCAGCATTCACTATGGCCGGGGGAGGGCAATCAGACCTCCCCGCTGCTCGGCACACCTGAGAGGTAGCACAAGGACTATAGACTCTATAGAGGGCACCCCAGCAAGCCAGTGGTACCAGTACAGGAGTTCAGGGTTCAGTTTATGCCGAGGCCACGAGCAGCGTCGCCTCAAGAGGTTTGGTAAAACTCCAGCCTCCCGTGTATTATTAATGGTGGTGTGGGAGGCGGGATGCCAGGGTTTTCTCGACAGATGTTCAGCAGATTTTGCTCCGTACAGCGGGGATTCTTGAGTCCAAGTGGATGTGGCTTTTACTACTTTTCAGTTTACGGGAGCTGCCTTCAACTTTGGTGGGAGGCGTATGAGCAGCGTAGGCCGGCTGGTCAGCACCTTTTGACTTGGCAGGAGTTTCTCCACTCTCTTCTTGGAGAAGTAGTGTACCGCAAGTCTCGGCTATATGAAGCGTGGCGCATACAGTGTTTGAGAGGTTCGGCAGGGAGATATGACAGTGTCCCAGTATGAGATGAATTTCTGAGTTTGTCCCGATCATGCAGTTTGGCTGGTTCCGACAATCCGTGAGCGTATCCGGGAGGTTTGTTGATTGCGTCTCACCTACCCTCTTGTGATTCTTATGACTAGGGGAGCGAGTGCTGGGTACCACATTCGAGAGGTGCGTTGGATATAGCCCGAGAGAGATTGAGTCGTTCGCCGGCAGGATCAGAGATGAGAGGGAGGCCAAGAGGCTCGAGGTTTCTGGTAGTTACAAGTGGCGTCCTTCGAGCCCCAGGTCGGGCCATTCTTTTTAGGCCCGCCAGTCAGTCGACCCGAGTACCGAGGAGGATCTTCAGGGGTTCGTTGGTTATCGGGTTCTCAGGCAGATGATCAGCCATCTTCTCAGCGCTCTCCAGCACAGAGTTCATCTCGTGCTTCCGTCTGCTCAGGGTTCTTCCAGGCCGAGTGCATTCAGCTAGTCGACTCTGGCGCGAGGGTCCTTCAGTCCCAGTTTCCGCACTGGGAGTTGCTATGAGTGTGGTGAGTTTGGCATGGCGGAGGGAGTGTCCTCGTCGTGCTGCTAGGTCATCTCAGCAGAGGGGTCAGCCTTCATTCTGGTCAGTTTCTTCGAGCCGCCGCGCCCCAGCCATAGGGGTTGAGGAGTCAAGGGCAGCCCAGGGGGGTCCCCCGCCCCAGAGGTGGGTAGATCGGGCGGTGGTCAGGTCGCTTTTATGCTCTTCAGTGGCCAGTGACAGATCTATTGCTTCGGATGCTGTTATTAAGGTATTATTTCAGTCTGCCACGGATGCTCAGTTTTATTTTGATCCGATTCAACCTATTCCTATGTGTCTCATATTTTGGCTTCATCATCTGGGTCGACCCGAGGTGTTGCTTTACCTTCCATGTATATACCCCGGTGGGGCGATTATGTTTTGGTGGACCGATTGTATACCGGTCATGTTTGGTTCTAATAGGGGGTCTGGTAACGAGTTGATATGTTGCTTATTGCAGCATGGTAGACTTTTGATGTTATTTTGGGCATGGTGATGTTATTCCGTTCATGCTATTCTAGACCTGCATGGCTAAGAGTCACTAGTACAGATTGTACGAGGATCGATAGGGCATGGTGTAGATTGACTTATGTTCTTTAGCAGTGGTGATTTCATTCTTAAGGCCCAGCGTATGCTGGGAAAGCGTTGCCATTTCCTATTGGCGTTCGTGAGAGATGTTGGATCGGCGAGACTCTAGGCATGAATTCTTGGTCCGGTTGTGAGGAGTTTTCCAGATGTATTTCCTGCAGACCTTGCCGGGCATTGCCGCTGGACAGGGACATGATTTTGGTATTGACCCTGGTTCCGGGCAATTACCAGCCCATTTCCACTTCACCATATCGTATGGCACCAGCAGAGTTGAAAGAATTAAAGGATCAGCTTCAGGATACTCCTAGATAGGGGTTCATTTCGCGAGTATGTCACCGTTGGGGTGCACCGGTTTATTTGTTGAAGAGATGAAGGATGGCACCATGAAGGATGCGCATTTGACTACAAGCAATTGAACAAAGTTAAGTGAAGAAAAAAAGTACAACCTTGCTCTGTATTGATGATTTGTTTGACAGCTTCAGGGCGAGGGTGTCTTCCAAGATGACGTCCGTTCGGGCTATCACCAGTTGAAGATCAGGGATTCGGATATTAATGAGGACACTTTCAGGACTAATATGGGCACTATTGAGTTTCTTGTTTACTCCTTTGGGCTAAACAATGCCTGCGCGTTACATACTTGATGAAAGTGTATTTCGCTTATATCGGATTCGTTCGTCATTGGTTTCTATTGATGATGATTCTGGTGTACGTCGTATCGAGGAGGAGCACGCGCAGCATTTGCGAGTTGTATTGCGGAGATTGAGGGAGCAGAAGCTTATGCAAGTTCTCCAAGTGTGTAGTTTTTGGGCTCCAGTTAAGTGGCTTAATTGGGGCATGTGGTGTCAACGAGGGTATTTCAGTCGACCCGAAGAAGATAGAGGCGTGTTCAGAGTTGGCATGACCAATTCAGCCATAAGTATTCGTATTTCCTTGTTTTGGGCAGTTATTAATCGGGTTTGTTCAAGGATTTTCCTCTATTGCATGCCTTTGACCAAGTTACACAGAAAGGTGCTTCCATTTGTATGGTGGACGAGTGGCAAAGAAGAGCTTTCAGAAAAGCTCAAGAAGCTTCGACCACGCGTCAGTGTTGGTTTTGCCATCAAGCTTCAGGTTTTACACTGTATTTGTGATGCCTTGAGATTGGATTCGGATTTGTTATTGATGCAGGAGGGTAGAGTTATGCTTATTGCTTCTCGCAGTTTGAAGCCCCACGAGCAAGAACTACTTGTTAATTGATTTGGAGTTGGCTGCTATATAGTTCTATGCTTTAAAGATTTGATGGCACTACTTTTATGGCGTTATTTGCAGGTATTCACTGTATCAAGTCTTCAGCATTTATTCAAGGCAAAAGGGATCTAATTTGAGGCAGCAGAGGTGCTAGAGTTACTCAAGGATTATGATATTATACCATTCTGTATCACCCGGGAAGGCCAATGTAGTGGCCGATGCTTGAGCCGAAATGCGGTGTAATATGGGGAGCTGGCATATATTTCAGTTGGGCTGAGAAGGCCCTTTGTAGTTGATGTCCAGGCTTGGCATCGGATGGTGAGATTAGATATTTCAGAGCCTGTCGGCGTGTTGGGCTTGTGTGGTTTTCGGTCCTCCTTATATGATCGCATAGAGGCGCCAAGTATATGATCCGCATCTTGCTCGTCCTTAAGGACATGGTTAGCATTGATGAGGCCAGGGACGTGACATTTGGTGATGATGGGTGTGCTGAGATGCAGGCCGAATTTGTTACCAATTGGACCGGCTTCGGGAGTGATTTGGAGGAGGCCCATAGCTCGCGGAATTCCATTCATCGGGTGCCACGAGATTGTATCAGGATTTGAGGCAACACTATTGTGGGAGGAGAAGGATGAAAAGGAATTAGTAGGGTACTGAGCTCGGTGTCTCAACTGTAAGCAGGTAAGTACGACTCGAGGCCGGGGGTGTACTTCAGGTGGATGATTATCCAGAGTGGAGTGGAATGAGGATTACTGATGGATTTAGTGAGTGTCTCCCTGGACTTTAAAGAAGTTTGATTCGATTTGGTGATTTGTTAATCGCTGACCAAGTTCCGCGGCACTTTCATTCCAGTATGTACTACCTATTCGTCGGAGCGGCTGGCAGGGATCTTTACGGAGATTTGCATGGGGTTCCAGTGGTCCATTATCTCGATAGGGGTACTCATTCACTTCTCAAGCTGGAGGACTTTTCAGCGGGAGTTGGGTACACAGGTGGAAGTTTGAGAGAAGCATTTTCATCTCAGACGGACGGGGCAAGTCCGAGTGTTAACTATTCAGATATTGCGAGGACATGTGTGTGTGCCTGTGTTATTGATTTTGGAGGTTCTTGGATGATTTTTTGCCGCTTGCGAGTTTGCTATAACAGCAGTTATTCAGTCGAGCATTTCAATGGCTCCGTATGAGGCGGGTGTATGGGAGGCGTGTTAGGTCTCCGGCGTGGATGGTTTGAGCCCGACGAGGCGAGGTTATTGGGGACAGAGACAGTTCAGGATGCCTTAGAGAAGGTGAAGCTGGATTCAGGAGAGGCTTCGTACAGCACAGTCACGTCAGAAGAGTTATGCGACGGAAGTTCGGATGTTACATATAATGGTGGTGAGAAGGTCTTGCTGAAGGGTTTCGCCCATTGAAGGGTGTATGCGGTTTGGAAGAGAAGGGAAGCTGAGCGTCGCGGTTCATTGACTTTTGAAGTACTTAGGAGAATTGGGGAAGTGGCTTATGAGCTTGGCCTTGCCAACCCAGCTTGTCGGAGGCGTGCAGTCCGGTATTTCATTTTGTTTCTATGCTCCGGAATATGTTGGGGAACCGTCTCATGTATTGGTTTTTAACACTGTTCAGTTGGATGATGGAGTTGACCTTGATGTGGAGCCAGGTGGCTATTTTGGGTCGTCAGGTTCGAAAGTTGAGATCAAAGGATAAGCTTTGGTGAAGTGGCAATGGAGAGGTCCGGCCCGTGGCAGTAGTTTGGGAGACGTAGCGAGAGTGCGGGAAGCAGATATCTCAGTATTTGAGACTTCAGGTATGTTTCTTGACTCGCATCGAGGACGAGCGTTTGTTTTTAGTTGGGGAGGATGTGACGACCCTGGCCCCGTCATCAGTGAGTTACCGCCTCGTTTTCCTCCATTTCTTTTGCTTCATTATGTTTTACTATAAAAGTTTGAGCGGAATGGAGTCGACTTTGGATGGTTTTTGGATGGTAATGAGACACATAGTACCTTTTAAGGAAGGTTTGCCTTGGAAAGTCAACCGGATGTTGACTTATGAGTTTAGTAGCGGGCTCGAGTGGATTTCCGGTGATTAGGTTAGCTTCGGGAGATGATTTGTGACTTAGGGAGTGTGAATCGGAATTGATTTTGCCAGAGTCCGGTGTGAATTAGGCTTGAATTGGCGAAAGTTCATATTTTGTCGAATTCTCGGTTGATGGGTGAGATTTTTAGATCGAGGGTCAGAATGTGAATTCGAGAGTTGTCTTGGTAGGCTTTCTTAGGTGATTTGGATGTGTGGTGCAAAATTATCATATTATTGGAGGTGTTTTGGTTGGAATTTTTGATCGATGCGAGTATCGGAAGATTTGGATGAACTTAGGCTTGAATGTTTGATGTAATTTGATGGTTTAGGTGTTTTTGTTTGCGTGTTTTGATGACTCGAGCAAGTTTGTGAATAAGGTGTTGGATATGTTTGTACTTTTGATTGAGGGGTCCCGGGGCCTCGGGATGATTTCGGATGGCTATCGGGGATTTAGAACCTTGGTGGACTTTGCAGGTTTTGCTGGTATTGGTGTTTCCGCATTGCGGAATAGTGGGCGCATATCGGTTCCGCGAGATGCGAGTGGTTGGTCGAGGTTGCGAGTTTTATGAGGTAGGCTGGTCTTCGCAGGTGCGGGCTTGGAGCGAATCTGGCGGTTGCGCAGATGCGTAGATGTGTCGCAGAAGCGAAAGAGGCTATGGATTTGGCATTTCCGCAAGAAGCGGACAGACATTCCCAGCAGAGGCGAGATCCGCAAGTGCGGTAGAGGACCGCAGATGCGGATCGGGGTTTAAATGAGGATCTGCAGAAGCGAAATTTGACCGAAGAAGCGGTTAGACGCAAATGCGGTATGGGGACGCAGATGCGAAAATCGCCTGTTATCAGAAGGGTTTTTAGAGCTTCATTTGTTCCGCGAGCTTCAAAGTCCCTTCTCAACCATTTTAAGCAACCTTGAGGGGATCTTGCGGATATTTGAAGGGGGATTTCGACTAAGGTTGATTGGGAGGTGAGTTCTTGCGCCTAAATATGAAATTAATGGTAGATATTTACATGGAAATTGTGTGGAAATTCATCAAAAGAGGGTAAAGCTAGGGCTTGGAACTTGGTATTTCAAAAATAGAATGTTGAGGGGTAAATGACTCCGATTTTGGTAAATTTGATATTATTAACGACTCGTGGGGCGAAGGTAAAGAAATCCGGTGAATGTTAATTTTTTGATTTTTCAAGAGTGGGCCGGGGCTCGGGTTTGCCACACTTCGTGAATTTCGATGTTTTCGAGTCTTTTTTGTTGGGTTATATTCCCTTAAGCCTATTGTAACTATTGTTGTGGGTTTTGGCCAGATAGACGCGCGAGGAAAGGTTGTTTGCGAGGCAAGGGCCATAGCAAGCTAGGATTTGGGCCGGCTTGAGGTGAGTTAATGGTTATAAATGATGTCCTGGGTTGAAACCCCGGATTTGCACACGTAGTTGCTAGTGTTGAGGTGAAGAATAACGCTGCATGATGAGCGTGGGTCCTTACTCGCTGGGGATTTGGACTGGGTCCATCCGATTGATGATTCTACTGTATTTTTTTGATTGAACTTAGAATTATTCATTATAGTTTGGGGTAGTTTGCAATGTTTGGGGCCTTGTGCCCGACCTGTAGACCCTTAGTGGTAATTGTTACATGCATTGCCTCACATTTACTCGTTAAAATCAATGACCCTCAGTATTTGTTTCTAATTGTTTAAATCTAATTATGACAGGCTTATGGAATAATAACCAAAAAGGAGAGTAATATGTGGGCTGGGATCTACTTATTTTAGTTTGCCCGGAGCTAAGCTATAGTGACTGGGAGGGGTTGAGAAACCCCAATAGTGAGGGATGTGATATGTTTATGGATTTCGGGCTGCATGCCGCACCAGTATAATATATTGAATATGGATGGCTGCACGCCGAGCAGGATTATTTATTGATCGGGTTGCGCGCCCGCGAGCAGTAATTCATATGGATCGATCTGCACGCGCATAGTATAGGCTTGGGTTGTAGGAGCCCCCTCGAGTCTGCACCCCCAGTAGAGCGCAGCGACTATTATTATTTGATCGGGCTTGCACTGCGCAGCCGTTTATATCATATATATATTATATATAATATATATATATAATATATACTATATATATATATATTATATGGAAGGGCTGCACGCGCAGCGGTAAAATTATGATTTCGGTTGTCGTGAGAGTAAATGAGTTGAGTACTGGCTTAAAGGATTTTTACCTGACTTCTTCATTCAGTTGCTGTTTTAATGTTCTTTACTGCTTATTATTAGAACTGCTTAGTGCTTTTTTACGAGATTTCTTTCCGTCAGTCATTATTTATTGCTATTACTCACTGAGTCGGATACTAATTTTAATCTTGCACCATGTGTGCAGATACAGGTATTCCGGGAGCGTAGATTGAGCTATTGCTGCTATTCAGATCTCACGGAGTCATCGACGGTAGCTGCATGGCGTCCGCAGTCCCGATTTCTCCCTCTATCCTCTTTACTTTTAGCATTTTAGACTATCTTTGTTTAGGCTGTTCCTCAGACTTGTATTAGAGGCTCTTGACTCGTGACACCAGATCGGTGGGATTTGTAGTGATATTTCTTGATTTTTGCACATTCTATCTTCTGTTACAGATTTATAATTCATGTTAATATTGGTATTTAAACCCTGTTAATTGGTAATGAACTCTATATGAGGGATTGAGAGTGTTGAATTGGTCGGGCTTGCCTAGCATGTGTTGGGCGTCAACACGACCGGGTTGGGTCGTGACGCGACCCTTTAGTGGATTTTGAGTCTGACAACTTATTTAGTATGTCTAGAATGCTTTTCAAAAACTTCAGCTTATATAGTGCTGAAGTTTTTACAAATTGAACTAAAATAACTACAGCACTTCTGCTGAAGTTTTTGAAAAAGCTTTTATGATAAAACTAATGAATCCAGAACAAAAAAAAACTTCAGC